AGACTTTGAAAGTGAAGATCATTGATTGTATATTGTGGAAAATGATTCTATCAAAGATCAAATGGCTTTCCAGATCTCCATGGGAACAGGGTTGGAGGTTTTGTTTTACATCCAGAGAGTTTTACATGTTTGATTTAACATTTCTTACATATCTGATTTACCATACTGTTGGAAATTATTCAGGTTGTTTTATTTAGAGATGCAAGACATTGTTGTTACCTCGCTTTTCTCTCTTGATCCAGACCCAAAGCAGCTATCTAAACCCAAAGACATTCCAAATTAGTTGCGAATGAGCTAACCATTGTGGAGCCAATCAAAGTACAACTATGCAGACTGAATGCAAAGATACTGATCTAAACTTGTTTACAAATGGGAAAGTTCATCTTCACAATTTGTTTGGAGGTGAAGTGGGATTTAGGAAATATTGGTCCACATGGTTTTGTGGCCTCCTTTTTTCCCTTGCACTGAATGTTTCAAGAATCATCTATTTAACCCTTGTGCCTGCAGGACTGTTGACCAAAAGGTTGACAGTTCGAATCCGTGAGAAGGGTGAGCTCCCGGCTGTCAGCTCCAGCTCCCCATGCGGGGACATGAGAGAAGCCTCCCACAGGATGGTAAAACACATGGGCATTCCCTAGGCAACCTCCTTGCATACAGCCAGTTCTCTCACACCAGAAGCAACTTGTAGTTTCTCAAGGTCAGCAGTTTGAATCCGGGGAGCAGGGTGAGCGTCCATCTGTCAACTCCAGCTTCCCATGCGGGGACATGAGAGAAGTCTCTCACAGGATGGTAAAACATACAGGCGTCCCCTGGGCAATGTCCTTGCAGACAGCCAGTTCTCTCACACCAGAAGCAACTTGTAGTTTCTCAAGTTGCTCCTGACCCCCCCCCCCAAAAAAATCTGTTTCTTATACAGCTTCTAAAAGATGTGGATAAAAAATAATGAGCTGGTGTGCAATTTGGAGCAACAAAAACAAGATAATGCCATTATTATTAATTTCAGGAAACACTGCAGATAACTTAGTTTAGATCACAGTGTGTAACATGATTATTGTTCCTGGTCTATAAATGTCATTTCCTAATTGTTTCTATCATTAAGACATGGAAAAGGCTTATTAAATCGCAAAAACTTTGTTTTTACGGGACAGCCTGCAGCACATTTTGCTATAGTTTTTCAATAAATATCTCATAAAGTCTAAACCAAGTTTGTGGCAGCCACAAAAAGGTTTCTGGAGTATAACAACTACTTTCAAATTAAGTACCGTACAATTGAACAGGAGGAAATAGCATTTTCAAACCAGAAACAGATCTTTTTCACATTTTGTTACATATTGTAATCTGTTCTCCACATTTATCTGCTTCCTGCCCTCCCTCTCAGCTTCTTTCTCTTCATAGAAGGGATGATTCAACATTTGATGTCTTCGCAAAGACATTCAGTATTGATGTTTGTGATTTTATCAGCGTTTGCCTAGAAGCAAAACAACAAAGCAACTCACCAGATTTCTTGGTACCAGCTCTGATGTCTTTTTTGACACTGGGAAAAGACCTTTCTACTCCTTCTTTTGAAATATTTATTTTAGTACTGCTAATACTTCTTTTAACTGCCAGCAACTGGGTTCCAACATATGGCAATCTGATTCTAATATTTTCTTGTCAAGAGGGTTGCCATCACTTTCCTCTGAGGCTTTTTTTTCCCGTGCCAGAAACGGCTTGAGAATTGGCTGTCTGCAAGTACATTGCCCACGGGACGCCTGGATGTTTTACCATCCTGTGGGAGGCTTCTCTCATGTCCCCGCATGAGAAGCTGGAGCTGACAGACAGGAGCTCACCCTGTCTCATGTATTTGAACTGTCGAGCTGACCTTCAGGTCAACAGTCAAGCCGACACAAAGGTTTAATCCATTGTGCCACTACTGCTCTTGTCCTCTGAGGCTGAGAGAGTGTGACTTGCCCAAAGTCACCTAGTGCATTTCCATGGCTGAGCAGGGATTCTAGTCTCCCAAAGTCCTTGTTCAGCATGCAAACTACGTAATATTTGCTCCTGATTGCCTTGCTCTGGGTTACCAATGCATGTACATGTATGATAAACCAACCCGTTATATTAGTAAGATTGTTTTATCTTGTTTTAGGACAAGTGTGAGAATCCCTAGCTGGTTGGATATACTGTTCCTCCTATTTTGTACCTGCCTTCCATTTTCCTTCATTCTCTGGAGCTGACTAACTACCCAAGCTTGTAGCTCATGTTTTATTGAATTGTGTATCCCATTAACATGTATGTGAAGGAGAATTGTACAGGTAAAACTTTCTTTCTGAAAGTCTTCCAGATCATTCCTGCAAGAGATTAAACCTGTTCTCACCACCTACTCCAGGATCTCCCAGTGGCACAATAGGTTGAATCCTTGTGCCAGCAGGATTGAAGACCGACAGGTTGGAAAAGCGCAGTGGAGCTCCCTCCGTCAGCTCCAGCTCCCCATGTGGGGATATGAAAGAAGCCTCCCACAAGGATGGTAAAACATCAAAACATCTGGGTGTCCTCTGGGCAACATCCTTGCAGAGAGCTAATTCTCTCACACCAGAAGCGACTTGCAGTTTCTTAAGTTGCTCCTGACACAAAAAGAAAGACTACTGACTCCAAACCCATTAAAAGTCTCTGCTGCTTTCACAAAACCACAAAGTCTACTTTGATGTTCAGACTATTGCTTTGATTCCCTTCCTCCTGATGGCAGTGCTTATGCCCAGAAATTTTTGACCCCTGCGTCCTTGTTTTTCTGCCATGGCCCTTCTTTGTGTTGCGAGGCTGTCTGCTTGATGTTGGATTAGCATTGGCATTATGTAAGCTGATCTCATGGGCATTGGGACAGTGATGTAATGCCACAGACCAGATACTAGTTCTTTGTCTAAAATGTGTTTATTCTTTTCCCACAAATTTGTCCTAAGGCAGCATCAAATACTCGATTATAAAAGCTAGGTTGACAACCAGAGTTTGAATTTACACAGTTAGATTCTATTTCTCACTAGCTATAGCTATAATAAACCAGTTTCCCCAGTATGGACATAACTGAACACTGTAGTTTTTTCAAATCTTGGGCTGCTAGTCTCTTCCTGTTGTCCATGAGGACTCAGATCTTTTTCACACATATTGCTGTCAAGCGAGGAATCCCCCAAAATCCCCATATGGCTCTGCTACATAGTTTGGTAGGAACTTAATAAATAAACTGCAAAGGCAACGTTGACAAAAATTATGTAAGTGGCATTTTTAGGAAATTGAAAGGATGTTATTATTCTTATACCACAATAACTGGTGCAGATGGCGACTTTTCTATATGGACTAAATTTAGGTCCCCTGGACATGTTTCATGTTTATTTGAAACATTTGGCTGTTGTCAGATAGTGGTGATTTGAATACTTCCAGTGAAGTGTGTTATGCTTCAGGTATTGTTGCTAAATAATAGCAGAAAACAGGAGGGAAGAGCATGTCTGTGCATGTTATTACATAAAACAATGGCCTGAGTTATAAACTATTATTGAACTAGTTACTAAACTAAACATACTTATTTTCAATATGTAAGTTTCATTGGTACAATGTACTAACATTGGTTGGGTCTACCAATTGCATTTAGGCTGTAGTTTAATAATTCTAAATCTAATTGCTCGTCTCAACTAGGATTCGTTCTACTGAATCAACAGAGCTTAAATATATGTTGCCTCATCAACGTGTAAATCAATGAGTCTCTGACCGTAGCTGGGACACAAGCCTATGTTTTTAGTATTATATTCTCATCAACTCCCAGAGATTATTTTTTTGTCGTGTCAGGAGCGACTTGAGAAACTGCAGGTTGCCTCTGGTGTGAGAGAATTGGCCGTCTGCAAGGACGTTGCCCAGGGGACGCCCGGATGAATTGATGTTTTATCATCCTTGTGTGAGGCTTCTCTCATGTCCCCGCATGAGGAGCTGGAGCTGATCCACCTCTCCCCGGATTTGAACCTGCGACCTGTCGGTCTTCAGTCCTGCCAGCACAGGGGTTTAACCCCTTGCGCCACTGGGGGCTCCGGTGATGTTCTTGGATTACTCTAGTTTTATACAGCATTTCAATGGGCTCAAGGATTTATCTCAGTAATCTTTTACAATAATCCCATCACCTGATAGTATCCATTTTACTGAAGTAGGTATGGAGACTGATGGAGAATAGCTTGCCTAAAGTCTCCTACTGGGTTCATTTCATAGGCAGGATGTGAATTGGGTCCAAATTAGGAGCTCATTCTCCCATTGTTCTTCATTAGTACTTGGTACTTTTTTTCTCTTAAGAACATAAGATTAAAGAAGTTTATCAAGGTTAGGCAAAGGCCCACCCTGTGAGTGGCCAGGAGTAATGGTGTGACATGTCTAGTTGCCAGGATATGCCCAAAAAAATTGGGGAGCGATTCTAGGTGTTTGTATAATTTTGCTTGAGTGAGTGGGGACAGTGTAATCTTCTGCATGGAAAAGACACCCCAAAAGGGGAAATATGGGAGTTTTGGAGGGCTGGTTGAATTGGTCTTTCTCATGTTGGCTTATATAGCCCCACATTCTGTTTGTACAATGGACAAGCAATTGCTTATAGGAAACTTACCAGCAAGAGATGAACACCATTCTTCACCTTGTGCTCTCCAGCAACTGATATCTAAATGTGTACTGAGAGTTGAAACCTACGTTTTAGGTCCAGCAGTATCCTACTTTTGAAAATAGATGCATTTCTTCAGGCCTCTTCTTCCTCTCTCTCTCCATCCTCCCCATCCCCATCCTCTTCCTTCCTGCTGCGTAGTCCATGTACACTCATATCAAAAATACAAGAACCTGTTCTTCACCACTGGAAGCAAAACTTTTGGAAAGTTTTATTTACAATTAATCCTTTTCTTCATGAAACACTGCATTCTCAATAGCACAAAGAAATCCTTACCTGTGTATTCGTGGCTGCTACACTGCCAACATGACAGATACTCCTGTCTCTTTCCTTTCAATAGGAGCAGCAGGACTTCCCAATGCAGAACCGGAAATCTCTCAGCAACATCTTCTACTTGACTATGATCCTGATGCTGTTGCTTCTTGGCCTGATTTTGACATCAATGTATATTTACAGATACTTCTCTGTTACTGACTCCATTTCAGGCTTGGCTCTGGTATGTATAATGCAAGAATGGTATGTATAATTTTTGTTGTTGCTGAAGTTCTCAAGATTTATGTTGATCCACTATATTGCCCCCATCTCCATTATTTGTCCTTTTCTTCTACCATTGTCCTGTTTATCCACTATAACATGGTAACATGGTTTTTGATACCTCCCTGCATCAAAATCAAGCAAATATATCCCTCTTCCTTTTCTTTGGATATCTTCTCGTGTGCCTCATCCTTGTGCGTCTCATCTTCAGTTAACCCAGTGTTTCTCAACCTGGAAGTCAGGACCCCCGGGTGGTGGTGGGGGGTCGTGAGGGAGTTTCAGAGGGGTTGCCAAAGACTGTCAGGAAACATATATTTTGGATGGTGTTAGGAACCAATTTGGCAGAGAAAGCTGAAGATATCTCTGCCTGTCCTCTTCCGTTTTGGAAACAGGTGGCAAACCCTCCCACCAAAAGCCCTCCTCTGCTGTGATTGACTGGCCTCCCAGCCAAGGGGAGGAAATGTTTCTGGGACTCCAGGTGGGATGGGGAGAGTAGGCGTGCTTGGCACATGGCAGCGTGGTCCGCATGTGTGGGCAAAGGAGAGCGTGTGAGGTTTAATGGTGGCTCACATCAGTGTGTCCCTTCAAGGCATGGGGATTCTGTGTGGGAAGTTCGGCCCATTTCTATAGTTGGTTGGGTTCAGAATGCTGTTTGATTGTACTTTAAATCCCAGCAACTACAACTCCCAAATGTCAAGGTCTATTTTCCCGAACCTCGACCAGTGTTCACATTTGAGCATATTGAGTATTCGTGCCAAGTTTGGTCCAAATCTATTGTTGTGTTGAAGTCCACAGTGCTCTCTGGATATAGGTGAACTACAACTCCAAAACTCAAGGTCAGTGCCCACCAAATCCTTCCAGTATTTTCTGTTGGTCATGAGAGTTCTGTGTGCCAAGTTTGCCTCACTTCCATCATTGGTGGAGTTCAGAATGCTCTTTGACTGTAGGTGACTTATAAACCCCAGCAACTACAACTCCCAAATAACAAAATCACCCCCCCCCCAACCCCACCAGTATTCAAATATAGGCATATCAGGTATTTGTGCCAAATTTGGTCCAGTGAATGAAAATACATCCTGCATATCAGATATTTACATTACGATGCATAACAGTAGCAAAATTACAGTTATGAAGTAGCAATGAAAATAATTTTATGGTTGGGGTTCACCACAACACGAGGAACTGTATTAAAGGGTCACGGCATTAGGAAGGTTGAAATAACACTGAGTTAGCCCTTTACTCAAGTGTTAATTGTTACTTTGAGTATTTAACACTCTTCTCTCACATTGATTTCATTTCTCAGCTACGTTTTCATTTGAGTTAGTTATTTTCAATAATGTATGACCTGTTCCAAATTAATCATAGAGTGCAACCCCCATATCCACAGTGGAAATGTTCTTGAATGTACCCTATAAACAGGAAACTGGACAATTGTAAACTCTATTAAAAGGTCCTCTAATAAGACTTTATGGTATACTTCTGTAGAAGCATACCACAGAATTGCCAGGAGAACCTAGAAAATGTGTTGAATGTGGGTAGGTAAAGAGGCAGGTATTGATCCCTTGGGTATGACGGTTGTACTGTATTTTGTAAAATAGCACACAGTTGTGTTATCATTCTTTCTGTTAGTTATTAGGGCTGCTCTGGGCTAACCACAGGAAGTTCTGCATGGCTCTGCTTCCTTCCTCCTTTCAAACTTTGCTTGACATAGTCCAACTGCTTTCAGTCTAGGGCTCCTTCCACACAGCTGAATAAAATCCCACATTATCTGCTTTGAACTGGAATATATGGCAGTGTAGAGCCCCCGGTGGCGCAGTGGGTTAAAGCGCTGAGCTGCTAAGCTTGTTGACCGAAAGGTTGCAGGTTTGATTCCGGGGAGCGGCGTAAGCTTCCGTTGTCAGCCCTAGCTTCTGCCAACCTAGGAGTTTGAAAACATGCAAATGTGAGTAGATCAATAGGTAGGAAGGTAACGGCACTCCATGCAGTCATGCCGGCCACATGACCTTGGAGGTGTCTATGGACAATGCTGGCTCTTCAGCTTAGAAATGGAGATGAGCACCAACCCCCAGAGTTGGGCACAACTGGACAATGTCAGGGGGCAACCTTTACCTATAAGGCAGTGTGGACTCAGATAACCCAGTTCAAAGCAGATATTGTAGGATTTTTTGCCTAAATATTCTGAGTTATATGGCTGTGTGGAAGGGCCCTAGGTTTGTGAAGCCTCATGGCAAAGTCAGTAAGTTTGTTAAACTTGATTCACATTGAAAACCAATACAAAAACAATCTGACAGAGTAAAAAAAAATCTGTTAATCCTACTAGATTACAGAGCAATACATTTGTCACTAAGACATGCATTTGTGGCTTTGTGACTAACTTTTTATATCACTTTGTGCAGATTGATGAAGATGATGTACCTTGGGAATGTCAGACCGTCTACGCTGACTACTTTTCCACCTCAAGGAGAGGGGAACAGTTGAAGCTGCGTGAAGATGTGAGGATTAATTTCGAGGAGCATTATGAGTGGATCAATGTTCCACTGCCCCACTTGGAAGACAGTGATCCTGCAGATATCATCCATGATTTTCAGCGGGTAAGGAAGGGGAAATTGGCTGCAGTGGGAGCAGTGAGCTATGAAGATTCAGCTACCACCAGTAACCTAACATACAAAACTCTTTTAATCACAGGAAAGATTAAAGATCTGTGAGAAGAATATAAATCCCATATTTTACTGACGTAGTAGAATAGTGTAATTTGACTCAATGTTAGAGTTGCATTCAGCAATACTGTATATTAGGCCTGGGTAACAACGGAAAAATTTGTTTCTAAAATCGATTCGTTTTTTGGGGGTTTTTGCGTTTCGATTTTTAAAAGAATTCCGAAATTTTTCTTTTAAAAAGTTCGATATTTACGCAATTTCGTAAATTACAAAACAATACGAAACAATTACGAAACAATTACGAATCGATTCGTTAATGGCGGACGCGACCGCGCAATACGCTAAAAAACCTCCAAATGGGACGGGGGAACTTCTGAAGCTTCCCTCTCCCTCTGTTGTTGACTGTTGGTGTGATATTTATAATTTTTTTTCACTGATTAAACAAACAACAACTATAAAACTTGCCCCAGACATGCGGAAATAATAACGAAACGATTTCAAAATGATAACGAAACGAATACAAAATGAATCCGAAACAATTACGAAACGAATTTAAAAATTCGTTTCGTTTTTAAGTTGCTCCTGAATGGTTCGTTATCGCTTCGTTATAAAAGAAAAATAACGAATTTTTAACGAATTGCGAAATTACGAAACGAAACCGCCCAGCCCTACTGTATATCAGACCTGGGCAAACTTCAGTCCTCCAGGTGTTTTGGACTTCAACTCTCAAAATTCCTAACAGCTCTAACATTGAGACAGCTATTTTTTTCAATTCTGGTGGTGCAATGGGTTAAACCCTTGTGCCGGCAGGACTGCTGACTGACAGGTCAGGGGTTCGAATCGGGGAGTCAGGTTGAGCTTCCTCAGTCAGCATCAGCTCCCCATGCTGGGACATGAGAGAAGGACAGTAAAACATCAAGCATCTGGGCATCCCCTGAGCAACATCCTTGCAGATGGCCAATTTTCTCACACCAGAAATGACTTGCAGTTTCTCAAGTCACTCCTGACGCAGGAAAAAAAAAACCTTGCCAATTTGGGGAGAGAAAAATATAGTACTTATTTGAGGGGCAATGACATCATTTTGCTCCCATTGTAGCTGCAGCCCTCATATTAGTAACATGGTACTCCTGCTTTGTTGTTTCCAAAGGGGTAAACAAACAGTGTAAGCCCAAAGTATACATTCAAGTAAAACTTGTTAAAGAAATCTAAGGTCTTCCTCAGTCACCATGCAGGCTACAGAGAGAAATGGGGGAAGCGTAGGGAAATTTTTCAAAACAGATGGATTAATTCTGGATTTTTTTTTCATGTCAATAGTAACTTGAATTTGCTTGTGGTGTGAAAGAATTGGCCAGAATTGGTCCTGGTGACTACAATGGTCTTGAGGGGCAAATGTGGCATGAATCAAAACTCTCCCAAAATGGCTTCTAGAGGATGTGAAATACATTTCTACCATGTTTGAGGTCCACTAGGAGTCAAATACAAAATACAATTTTAATGATTTTTTTGGTGTAAAACCGGATCACCCTGATGGAAGATAGCATATAATTAATTATCCCATAGTATGAGGAGCCTTCAAGAAGAGTATCCATAAAGTGTGTCATATGAAGAAATTGGAGGCTGAGATGACACAGTCTAATCAGTGTAGTGGGTCCTATTAAAACATCTTGTGTGGTGGTGAAATGGACTGCCATGGAGGATAATGGATTATTTCCCACAGAAAGTCTTCAGAGAAGGTTATTTTTAAAATTGCATCAGAAGCGACTTGAGAAACTGCAAGTCACTCTGGTGTGAGAGAATTGGCCATCTGCGTTGTCCAGGGGATGCCTGGATGTGTTACTATGGAGCTGACCCCATCTTGTGGATTTGAACCGCCGACTTTCAGGTCATCAGTTCAGCTAGCACAAGGGTTTAACCCATTGTGCCACCATCAGAGTGAAGAGAGGGACCAGGAAGGCAGTTCCATCTTGTCTCCTGCACTGTGCTTTATAATATAATATAATATAATATAATATAATATAATATAATATAATATAATATATTGTATATACATATAATATTGATAATATAATAATGTAATACAATATAATACTACTACTAATAATAATATGATATTATAATTATATATTTTATATTAAATGTAATATTACTAATAATATTACAGTATAATGTTATAGTACAAAGTAATATATAATATTAATATTGTGCTATGGTAATAATATAATATATTGTATTTACTTTTTACTTATAAGCCGCTCTGAGTCCCCTTCGCGGTGAGAAGGGCAGGATATAAATGTCGTAAATAAATAAATAAATGGATCACAGACAGAGTTGGATGGCCACCTTTCAAGACTGCTTTAGTGCTGTGGGCAGAGAGTCTTGCAGTGCCTTCTAACTCTATAATTCTCTCCTTAGATCTTGTTATTTAAGTGCACAGGTTTATTTTCAGTCCATTGTGTCTACTTTGGTTTCAGGGATTGACTGCATATCATGATCTTCTTCTGGATCAATGCTATGTCATTGAGTTGAATACCACCAATGTGTTGCCACCTCAAGAATTTCAGGAGCTGTTGACCAGTATGAAGGTAAACAAGTAATCCCTTTTATTTTTTCTTATTAAAAACACATTTTCGATTTAGCTGGTGCACCACTCCTATTTTCAAATCAGATCTCTGAATTCATAGAGATTATTATTTTGCAAAGCCAAGAAGACAATTATTACTAGTGTGGAAGAGTGTGAAACCAGCATACCACCCTGAACACTCAATCTCACTTGATTTCAAAAACTGAGGGTCCTCCCACACAGCCCTATATCCCAGAATATCAAGGCAGAAAATCCCACATTGTCTGAATGTGGACTCAGATAACCTAGTTCAAAGCAGATATTGTGGGATTTTCTGCCTTGATATTCTGTGGAAGGGCCCTAAGCTACTTTTAGCCTGATTAGTATTTGAATGGAGGGCCTCTGAGAGATACCAGAGATCTCAAGGGAGAGCTGGTTTAATGAATAAAATGATACAATACACTACAATACAACACAAATGTGGAAAGAGCCACTATCAATGAGAATTAACAATATTAGTGATGTTCTAAAGTGTGAAAGTAATGGCTGTTGTTCTATTTTGTGACTCCCAAATATCCAAAATTTCATGGAGTTATTTTTATGAATTATAAATTCTATGATTTCAGAATGGGGGAAACATGCCAAAAACTTACATCATTGAGGAAGAGATGATAGTGATGGAACCGGTCAATGACACACACCAGCTTGGCTCTTCTATATATCTTCTGTGCCACAGTAAAGAGACTTATTGGCTGAAACGCAGGACTGCAAGGAGACGTAAGGAGACTCCTGTCCGTTCTTGTTTTGTTGCTGAGAGTATAAAACAGTTTTGGGAGAGTAGTAGTAGTAGTAGAGGCGATCTTTAGATGCAGTCCAGTATTGGAAGGATATGTCATTTATAATTTATATGTATATGTTTTTACAGTTCTATAATATGGTGTTTACTGCTATTGTTATTGTTTGAATCTGGCATTGAATTATTGCCATAGTTTGTGCTTCCCAGTGAAGTTAGGTCAGCTCCATCCTTCCTCTCCTTCAGGAAGAAGCTCAAAACATGGTTTTGGGACCAGGTATTTGGATAGCAGGTTTGAAAATAATTACAATGTTTTCAGATTGGACTATGGACAGGCTCTGGACTGGGCCATTGGTCATTGAATCAAACTCAGATATGGCTGTATGGTTAATGATAATGTTTTAAACTGTTTTAATTTACTCTTTTATTTACTGTGTAATGGTTTTTTTTAAAATGTTTTGTATGTTGCTGGCATCGAAATTGCTGCTGTTGTAAGCCTCCCTGAGTGCCCCTTCGGGGGTAGAGAAAGACGGGGTAGAAATGTTGGAAATAATAATAGTTTATGAGCCGCCCTGAGTCCCCCTTCTTATTTATGAAAAAGAAAAAGCTTTTGAAATGAAAGGAGCTGTTAGATAAATGTTGTGTGGTAGCTAAAGCTGGAAAAACAACAAGAATATTGTGTTCTGCAAATCAGCATGAATCAAAGTGTCTTAGTTAATTATTTCAAAATTAAGTTTGAAAACCCATTCTGCATTTTAATTTGTCAACAGCTGATTTTTAAGCCTTGTGAAGGTCACATTAATGTTGTTTATGTAGGAAATGATACAAATATCTTAAATGTATATTCCAATTCCAATTTGTTTTCTTTGAGAATAATTTAAAGTTTGAGTAGGGGTGGGAAAACTCCAAAGCTTTGGGAAACTTCCCATGTGACACTTTATATGAATGCTGCACTGAGGTGAAGGTCTCCCATGGAGTTGGGATCTGGAGCCCGATGCAGGCCTGCTGAAGACATTCTGAATCCAAAATCAGCTCTAGTCTATGGGTGTGTGATATTACTTAAGGCTACCCTAGTCACGTTGTTCCTGCAACTCCAGGCTGGAGGAGGTTCAGATGTGGTGTACTGTAACTCAATTCCCCCTTTTCCCTTTCTCTTTTCTGCCCTATGGACTGTGGGACCCACTTTGCCAGCCTTTAGTTAGTAGATAGGTTTTGCATTTTGTTAAACATTACTGGTAGCTGGGCCTAGCATTGCTTTCTGTATTCATACTTATTTCCATATAGCTGACTCTTTTGTTGACTGTATCACAACAAAATCTCTTGCTTTTAAAAAGTGCTGGTGCTGCTTCTAGCTTAATCTGTTTTTTTTCTTTCTTGTTCCTTCCTTATCCAGATATCCATCGACGAGCTGCCCAGAAGTGTCGTCACATTCACCATTTTGCAAATACTTTTGTGGTTGACACAGCAATTTGCCAGAGATTGTGAGGAGCATAATTGCCCATCCCCTAGCTTTGCTTCTACACAACCACACAACCCTTCATGTTCTCTTCTTGAGAGATGGAGGCTTATTTCTCTTCTTCTTTCCATAGTTTGTGTATTGCTAACTTCTCAGGTCACTCATGATCACTGGATTTTCAGTGTCTTTAAACAGCACTTGCTTTTTATATTCATACTTAACTGTGCTTAAATTTACTCATTAACCACAAGACATAATAATGGCCTTCCTTTGTTAAAACTAGTGCAGTAATATCTTCTGGAGGATGATCAACTTTGAGATCTATAAGGCTGGAAACAAAAAAGCAAATTAAGCCACAAGAAGGGTATGTGAATGCATTTTGCTTTTCCCAGTGGCATCTAATAATTAGTTCCACCTTTTTGCATGGGAGTTTCCGTCAGTATTGAAGCGTTCATAGAAATCCAATGAAGTTAATTCTTTAAAGGAGTGAAGAAGATGCTGTTCAATTAATGATGCCAAATGTCTTTGACACTAAATGGAACTCCATGGATCTGCGAGGCTGATATATTCTCCCAAGTAGTTAAATGGGGCTTTTATTGTGCTTCTTTAAGATTGCTTTGCAACTGATGCAATCCCATGTTGTAAAATATACATATGCAACCTGTCATCATGCAGTATTCCATCAAAATACTTTAATCCCCAGTTGCAGCACTTCCAGAACAAAGTAATAAGCCAAAGCAGACTAGCTCTGGCATTCTGCTTTTCATAAAGGACACTCTGCCTGCATTGGTAGATTAAAGTAATAAAATAACGTGTCTGCTTACTCAGTTTTCTCTGATGTCCCAGGTGTCTTTGGTCCTTATTCCAGTGGTTCTCAACCTTTTTTTGACCAGGGACCACTTGATCAGGGACCACTCTCCAACATCAGTACCAAAAGGGTTACGAATTAGTTTTTGGTCAACTTTAGATTCGGTTTGGTTGTTTGGGGTGCTGATTCAGAAAATTGTATTGGATAGACCACATCAGCTATAGTTTCTAATACAGAACATATGCCATCCAGTAGTCGCCATCTGCTCGCCTACAGAAAACCATATTTAATAATCTAGAGGTAATGTGGTCTATCCAATGCAATTCTCTGAATCTGCACCCCTGAATAACTCCAGAAACAGGCCTAAAAACAAAGACACCAAGGCGCCTCCACTTCTAGGTGTCACATGGAATGCCTCTGCTCAAGGGAAGGGAGGAGAAGGAGACAGCCAGGCGCTTATTGTCATGCCTTTCATAGGTAGTCAGCCTCTCTCCTTTCGGCGTCCCCATTGCCTTGACACTATAAGAGGGTTTCGCAAGACCAGTCACTCTCATTTGCAATGGTGTAGTAATGATGAGGCCGTGGACCATATTTTAGTTCTTGGGGATCACTGGTGGTCCATGGACCATAGGTTGGGAACCACTGCCTTAGTCAAATATGTGATTTCAGACCCTTGTCCAGGAAAGGATTTGGTCACTGAAGCGGCACATTAAAGGAAGGTATAGCAAGCACCCTGGATAGATTCAAGTGAAGCTCAGCCTGAAGATTCATATGAGCAACAGAAAAATTAAAAAAATTCAGATTAAGCCTTAAGTAGGTGTTCTGTTGAATCTAGATTGTTGTTCCCACTTTTCAACTAAAGGCACATTTTAGGACCTGTTTTCAACACTGGTGAGGAGTCATGTTATTCAGTGTGCTCATCTCTACTCATGTAATCAGATGTCAGTCCCTAAAGAGTATTGAGTCTCCTGTAGGAGACTTTGAGTCTCCTTTGGGAGAGGTAAAGCAGGGTATAAATAAATACTATTATTTCTGAAAATAAACAAATAAGAAATGTTTGTAGACAGTTGACACAAATATGGCATTGGTTCCTGGGCACACAAGGGATGGGAAGCTGGTTCCCTGCATCAGATAACTGAGAAGCACTTGTGTAGTGGCTTCCAAGTCAGGGAGACTCTCAGAGTCTGAGAATGGCAGCATTAAACTCTTCAGGCAAAGATTGTGATAGGGCCAAATGCTGAGGGGGACAGTGGGGTTGTGCCAGATCAGTGCTGAAAAGTTCCAGTCCATAGACTCATCCACTCTGACATCCTAGTGATCATCTTTCATTTATTTCTGGTTCTGTAACCATTACAAGGAATACAAACCCAGTTTTAGTATTGGTAGGCAATGATTGGGATAACTATGGTATATCTCCTCCAGATTTTAATAATAGCAAGGTTTCAGCACATAAATGGGCTGCTTCATGCCACAGGAAATATTGTCTAAAACAACCAAATGTAAAATTTGTGTGGAATAAATTTTGAACTAGAAAGATTCCCCTCAGATTTCTTGATGCTTACAAAACATGTTTACCAGCCATTTTACGAACATCTTTGAAAATGCTTTTATCTTTGCTGTGTGTGTGTCTAATTGATCTGTTTCCATTTTACAGATAATGCTGCATTGTTGTCAGCTGTCTCAGTTTCACATATGTCCCTTTTGTTTTGTGTTGAGTGATGATTATGGACAAAGCATAGGGCATCTATGCAGTAATAAATGACCCCACAGGATCTGCTTGAAAAAGTCCATATGGCATTTGCCTTTCTATGCTGACATTGTTCCTCCGTGGAATTATTGATCCTGACTTGCACTTTGCTTTTCAACCCCATTCCCCTCCCCAGGCAGAGTGAATGGTGGCTTTTCCACCCGATCAATAGCATAGCTTATCAATATTAATAGTAGAGTGCCTCCAATGATTGCCTACATGTTAACTTAGTAAACGAACTCAATGTCTTTACAGTTTAGCAAAACATCACAGTTTGCCATGTGAGATTCTATGTAGCCTTATAAAAAGCTATCATATCACAGGGCTCACTATATATAACCATTTGTGATGCTGTTTTAATCTTACCACGTTGCAAACCATTTTCAGCTCTTACTGCTGCATACACTGTGTTTGACTCAGACCAATGTTCACATTCCTATAAATTTTTGTGGGATTCTAGCTAAGGTTATAAAAGGAAAAGGAACATTTTTCAAGTTTTTATCAAAGGTTTTCATGGCTAGAATCACTGATTGCTGTGAGTTTTCTGGACTGTATGGCCATGTTCCAGAAGCATTCTCTACTGACGTTTCACCCACCTCTGAGGATGCCTGCCATAAATGTGGGCAAAACGTCAGGAAAGAATGCTTCTGGCCATACAACCTGGAAAGCTCACAGCAACCCATTTCCCAAGTTGCTTACTAACCATTGTATAACTGATAAATGTATGCCTTCCTTTTGAACTGTTTACATACTTGTCCTCAGGTTGGAAATTTAGTCTTTCCTTATTGGGTTCTCCATGCTTTAAACTGGTTATTACTTTGTTAACATTGTAAAAAGCTACAGTCTGAAAGACAAGGTTGTTGTTTCCTGTCGGAACAGGCATTAATCCAGAATGTTCAAACACCAGTATTCTGGAGGGGGTAGAGTGACCACCAAATGCTTTATGTATTTTATCTTGGAAAAATCCTACCTTTAAGAAAAACAAATAAGTATAATAAATTATTTTACTTCTGGTTAAAGTTGCCTCTTTATTCACCTGTTGTCCACATGTTCTTTCATGATGCCTGGGGGATTGTGTACAGTGAGCATGCAACTCTGAAGACAGTTCCTTAGGAAACATAAATGCTTTGGGCTTACAAATTGATCTTAGAGCTGTGTTGCTGCCCAATCCATCCCTGCGCTGGTCACACACATTAGTGATTCTTTTGCATTAGCTTGTACTTTCTTCCTATTTGCATCATTCAGTACCTAACAGCTGAGCCTGGCACTACCAGGCGTGCCTTTCCTTCACCTTTGCAGCAAACCCTGTTATCATTATGATAAAAGTTGAATCCCCTTTTCATCTAGTTCTGTGTCATATTTTGTCACGCCCTTATTCCGTCCTTCTGGATGCAAATCTATACACTTTCCAGTCTATTGGACAATGGCATGTTTTCGTCCTTGGCTTCACATGTTAACATGCTTTTGTTCGATACGTTATCTGTTTCCCTGTATCTTGCTTTGCCTGATGAATCTGTCAGAAAAATATTCTCAGAACTACTTTTCTAAAACAAGCATGAGCAAAAGACAGGTCACGTGCATTCCTCCCTTCAATGCTTTCTTTTGCAGCCTGTTGCTCCTTGATAGACAGTTTTAGGATGAAAATGGTGATTTTGAGCAGGGCTGGACAAAGACCAGCCCATAGGCCATGTGCAACTGTTAAGGCTCTTTTGGTCCCACATACTGACCCAACATGCTCACTTGAGAACCCAGGCAAGCTTTAAAAATACTTCTCCCAAAGCTAAAATAGCTTGGAATTTTTAAAATATGGCAAAATGTCTCATTAGAGTTTATAGAATAGGCATGGGCAAACTTTGGCCCTCCAGGTCTTTTGGACTTCAACTCCCACAATTCCTAACAGTCTCAGGCTCTTTCCTTTTTCCTCTCAGCCACTTAAGCTTTTATTTTATTAAGCAGCTGAGGAAGCAAAGGAAGGGACCTGAGACTGTTAGGAATTGTGGGAGTTGAAGTCCAAAAGACCTGGAGGGCCCAAGTTTGTCCATGCCTGTTGTAGGGGGTGCTGGATGAATATTTAGGTAAATGGAATAAGAGAAAATGGAAAGTCATACACTATCATTTTATTTCAGAACTGAACAGGTAGAAAGTCCACTATGCTATCTAAACCATATTTGCCTTGCAAAAGAATTGGGTGAACAGTAGCAGATGGAGTCTGAACTGACTGTTCTGGCTGCTTCAGTGATAAAGAGAATTCAATATTGCTATGGCTAGTTGATTTACATTTACATGACTGGAAAAAGAACATCACAAATCATCACTAACAACTAATCAAAAAGAAATCGATAATAGAAACCACAGTCAAATGTGAAGCCTCAGAATTTGGTAAAGTTAATACTTTGGACTACAAGATTCAGAAGCCAATGCCATCTTGGCCAATGGCTAGGAATTCTGGGAGTTACAATTAACAACAACAACAACAACAACAATTTTATTTTTGTATCCCACCTCCATCTTTCTGGAGAAAATCGGGGCGGCTTACATGACATGCCTGTTCAACATAGTTAAAATATAGCACACTAAAATTTATAAAACAATGTCATAAAACCATATAAACAACCACAGCATAACATAGTATAAAACAACCATCGATCAAACCACCAATGGCCTGAGCAGTAAACAGTTCCTGAGCTTGGATGGGCTGGTTGGTGCAAGTCAGTTGCAAGGGCTGATGGGTAAAGTGCAGAGCCAGATGACAAGATTAGGAGTGGAGGGCAATATGAAGTAGAGCACTGTATCTCTGGTTAGGGAACAGCGTTTGTTAGTAAATTGCAAGAAACTAGATTTTGGGTCATGGCTGGGGGCAAATTTATCAGGGGGACTGTCTAATCAAAAGCGCACTGGAACATTCACGTTTTTAGATCTTTCCAAAAATTGGACAGGGTGGGTGCCAGTCTAATCTCCTTGGGAAGAGAGTGCCAGAGCTGGGGGGCCACCACTGAGAAGGCCCTTTCTCTGGTACCCTCCAACAGTGCTTATGACGGAGGTGGGAGCAAGAGGAGAGCCTTCTCAGAAGATCATAGAGATCGTGCAGGTTCGTAGAGGAAGATGCGGCCACGAAGATAGGCAGTTCCCGAACCGTTTAGGGCCTTATAGGTAATAACTTGCACCTTGAATTGAGACCGGAAACTTTTGTTGTTTATCCATTCAGTCTCTTCCAATTCTTTGTGACCTCATGCAGCAGCCCACTCCAGAGCTCCCTGTCAGCTGTTGCCACCCCCAGTTCCTTCAAGGTCAAGCCAATCATTCAAGGATACCATCCATCCATCTTGTCCTTGGTCAGCCCCTCTTCCTTTTTTCTTCCTTTTCCCGCAGCATCATTGTCTTCTCCAACCTTTCCCATCTTCTCATTATGTGGCTAAAGTACTTCATCTTTGCCTCTAATATCCTTTCCTCCAGTGAGCAGCCGGACATTATTTCCTGGGACCGGAAACTTATTGTTTCCTAAATGCATACTCTAGTTAGATTTCCAGGAAACCTTGAACACTCTCTATCACTTATTGGTCAGGGTGATTTTTCAATCAATTTAACTGGAACAAGCCAAAACACCCCTGAGTTTTCCTTGCTTAAGTAAACCCTACAAAATCAATGAGATCGTCATCAGTTCATACGTGATTTGAAGGGGCAAACACGCTTACACACCATACATTAAAAAAGGGATATCCCTTTTAACAGCTTCTTTGTATTCTCCTACCAGAGGCTGAACAACACGACTGACCAGTCTGAAAGACTTAATTAATTGTATTACTCTCAACCGAAGCCAGCTTTACAGACTCCTTGAAGACAAAATAAAAGCAGAATCCATCTAGAAAGCAGTTGAGGTTAGCACAGGTCAGGGTTACCTGAAGAAATGTGAGAATGGCTTCATGAGGATCATTTAGAATACAATTCATCACAAGATAGTACAATACCAGAGCCAGGTGATAAGGAACAAAGCAGATTAGGAATATAATGAGATTTGCAACAATTATTTTCAGCGACTTGCTTTTGATTGTGAAAGGACTGTCTGGCTTTTGGCTCCTCCGTAGACATACAATGATCCGAACTGAACAAAAGATTACAGTGATTGTGCTGCTTAGTAAGACTGTCTCCAAAACGACGAGCAAGATTACATTTTCCCAAGTAGCTTCAGAAAAGCCATGGAAACAAACTGGGGGAGTATCCTTGTTATGGAATTGGAAGGTACATGCTGTCCCAGCCCAGACTCCTGCTGAAATAATCACACAAGTTATAGCAGCTTTTCTGGGAGATCTCAAGATCACCGCTGCAAAAGGGTGCAGGATAGCAATGTATCTATCCACACATATGCACAATGAGATGAGAATACTCCCATACATGTTCACAAAGTATAGGCTTTCCAGGAATGAACAAAAGGTTTGCCCAAGATCCCACTTTCTACTATCATAGGAAATTATCCTAAAGGGAATGGCAAAGAGTACAAAGAGATCTAAAACCATAAGTGACACCATGTAGATTACAGGCTCTGTTAACTTTCTGATCTTCCGTAAAGCGAACCATATCGCCATTCCATTAAACAGAACTCCAAGGATAAATGTAGGAATGTATACAATTGTCTGGAAAAGTTCCATGGAAGGTAGAATGGGAAGCTTTATTAGTCTCTCTCTTCTTTGGGAGCAGTTGACTCCAGAATTGTTTGTCTCCATCTGTTCAGAATTCTTTTAAAACTGGAAAAAAAACACTGTTCATAATTAGTTCATAAGGCACTGAAAACAAACATTATTTCAGTGACATTTTAGAAATGCAATTTGTCTAATTCAAATTCTCAAAATTCTCAACCCATCTTCTGAAATTTGGTATTACACTGAAATTCAACATTTTTTGTACCCTATTGCCACATCATATTTTAAAACAAAACAAAACAAAAGCACACCCAGCAACAGGTGGTGGTGCTCATCTCTATTTCTAAACCGAAGAGCTGGTGTTGTCCATAGACACCTCCAAGGTCTTGTGGCCAGCATGACTGCATGAAGTACTGTTACCTTACCACAGAAGCGGTACCTATTGATCTACTCACATTAACATGTTTTCGAACTTCAAAATATAAAATATATAGACATTAAAATAGACAACCAATACAATAAATCACTAAAATAATTATTCAAATTAGCACCACACAGATCACTCCATAAATAAAAATGCAGACACAAATGATTGCCAAAATAGCACACAATTACTTCTAGAAGTGGCATATAGCAAAGAAAACCTCTTAAATCTTTTCCCATGTATGCACATTGGCTAAAAATGTCTGAAAAGAGAAATCATACGATTTTACAGAAATTCGTCACTATCTTTGTCATCTATTCTTCCAAGATGTTTACATCTGAACACTGCCACAGGGCCATTTTTGTGGCTTTCAGGATCATCAAGAGTCAACTATCGACAAGGACAATGCTGCACCTTGTTCTGTGGTTAAAGTCCAAAATGTCTTCTTGCAAGAATGGATCTATCCTCTTTGCTATGAACTTTAAAACATACTGTATGTACTCATAAGTCTAGACATTTTAGTAAAAAAAGACCAAAAATACTAATGCAAACACTACATCTTAACTCTTACCAAAAGGGAACCACCACCATTTCAAAATAAACCAGTGAAAGACGAAAGCATAATTAATATGGAAGAACCAAAAAGAAGGACCAACACTTCTATTCTCTCTGCTAATAACAATTTAATTATGATTACTATTTCCTGTTGGCTCATATAATACCTCGGGATCGGTCAGATCTGGAATAAATGCTCTTTGTAGCTACTGGAATTTTCTTCTTTTTGCAGTCACTGGTACTATTCCCCATTTTATTGTGTGGAGTTTAAACTTTGTATAATAGTTGGGGCACTTGGAAAAGTAAAAACAAAAGGGTAGAATTTCAAAACTGTTTAGTTCTAGCCTAAGGACCCTTGTAAAAGCATAGATAAGCCCCATTATAACTGTGGTTTTGAATGTAGCCTTATCACACCTGCATGTATTCATTTTAATAAAATGTGTGGTAAATTAAATTCATTTTAATAAAATGTGTGGTACACCTAAGGAGAGCTGAATACAATAAAAGCAGTAGATCATTTCTGATCCTGGAAGCTAAACATGGTCAGGTTCGGACCTTAGCAAACCAACAATGAAAACCAGTTGTTGTAGGCTCTATGTCAGAGGAAAGAAATGGCAAATCCACCTCTGAGTATTCTGTGCTTATAGAACCCTATGAAATTTGGAAGGTTGCTATAAGCTGACAGAATTGAAGGCACATACTCCTAAATACTTAACGAAACACAGCATTACAACCAGTGCTCCTGATCTAAATGTTTAAACAGTATTCATAGTAAGCCAATATACACATTAAAAGTGGAAAATATGTAAAATATAGTAACTAGTTGAAATCATTATCTCTTACCTCAAAATTGTTCTCCATAGAAACAGTCCATGTTCTTGTACAGTATGTAGAGAATCAACAGTAGGTCCTTCTTTATAAAGCCCTTGGTGCTTCTGCTAGAGCAGGTTAAACATTGCGTCTGTCGTGCAAACACTAACACCCTCTGATTAATCAAGTTGTGCACCATTTAATTAACTCTGTGCCCTTATTTGCAAGAAGCTGCTGCTCTGCTCTAGTTAATATTCTCCACATTTGACATCATATCCTAATCAATATTTTCATATGATTGAGTTCTCTGCACCAGTCCCGCCCCCTTACACAATGTGGTATACCTGGTCTTGAAACGGAGATGCAATAGTTAGTGTGCTGTACTTACTTCATTATCAAAGTGTGTGACAAGCTTGAACTTGGGAAAGATGCTTTTTAAAAAAAACCTGAGAACTTTGCTGTAGCAATCCAACATGTAACCTGACAATGATATATTGCAGAAGCCTGGAAAAGTTCTGCATAAGGTTTGTGGCAAATAATTTGAAGAACTATTGGGGAAGTCGTGGCATGCAATTCCTCTTTTCACATCAGAACTGAGTAGGTGCTCAACTGTGCTTTTTATGTCCCAGTGATCTGTTCAGCAACAGTCATTTGAGCTCCAATGCTTTTCATTTTTTCTCTCCCCTTGATACGTGTTGCTATTGTAGGAGTGCTTTTATTCTATGTTCTTTCTCTCCATATGGATTATTTGCTGAGCAAAATCTACATTGCACACTGATGACAACAATCATCTATAATATTTGTGCCCTCCATGAAGATACTGTTGCAGAAATAATTGTGAACTTTACTTCTGAATGGGAAACCAACCAACTTGAGGATGTAACACGAGCACTTGCTTGTCCGATTTTGTTGGATTTATTTCAATTGGTGAAACCCGAGGATGTGGACAAGATATTTGAAGAGGTGAGAGCAACCACATGCATCCGAAACCCCTGCCTATCCTGGCTGATAAAGGAAGCCAGAGTGGGTTAAGGTGGTGGTTAATCCCTCCCTGTGGGAAGACAACATTCCAGCCAGTTTAAAACAAGCTGTAATAAAACTGCTGTTGAAAAAACCATCACTGCACCCCACTCAATTCGTCAACTATCGGCCAGTTTCCAATCTCCCCTTTTTGGGCAAAGTCCTGGAACGTGTGGTGGCCTCTTAACTCCAGGTATTCTTGGAAGACATGGATTATCTGGACCCGGCTTTACGTCGGGACATGGATGGTGGTTGGGCATCCGGACAACATGGCCAGTCCAGCGGAGTTGATGGTGGAGGATCATCGCTTCAATGCTGCTTCTTCCAGCACACTGACATTTGTCTGCCTGTCTTCCCAAGAGATTTGTAGGATTTTTCGGAGGCAGCGCTGATGGAATCGTTCCAGGAGTTGCATGTGAAGTCTGTAGACTGTCCATGTCTCACAGGCATATAGCAGGGTTGGGAGGACAATAGCTTTATAAACAAGCACCTTGGTATCCCTACGGATGTCCCGGTCCTCAAACACTCTGCTTCATTCGGAAAAATGCTGCACTTATTATAGTTTTTAATTTATTTTATATGCTTTTTATTATATAATATTAAATGTTTTTAATTGATATGTACGTATGTACATTATGGCATCTAATCTTTGCTGGTATGTGTGCTGCCCTGAGTTGCCTTCAGGCTGAAAAGAGCGGAATAAAAATGCTACAAATAAATAAGTAAATAAATGTTTACTTATGAAACACCCTTCTTTTATAGGAAAGTGGTATAGACTCATCTTTTCCTCTGAAGGTATAAGAGGGTCATGCTATGACAAAATCAAATAAATATATTCTGAATATTCACGAAGAAAAGAAGTATCAACATGTAAAACATGTAAAAATATTTCCAATGAGTATAATGGACAAATTTTAATTGATACTTGTGTGTATATGTATATATATATAGAGAGAGAGAATTCAGCTTTTTTTCCTATGTGAAAAAGGTCCTTACTCATCAGGATCTGCATAGTATTATGTTCCTGGATAGTTAAAATACACCATCTTGTGGCCAGTAAGCATTTTACTTTATGAAGCCATAATAAATAGCAACAAAAGTTTATTTCCAATTTTACTGGAATATCTGATGAGTTAGGCAGACACCAAGTTTATATACTATTGCCTGGATAGGTGCACTTAGGTGTCTAAGCAACTCTAAGAGGGACAAAATGAAAACCTACTCTCCACATTAATCTATGAATGAAAACTAAGCATAATTATAATAATCATTGGTTAATGTTTACATATTGCTCACTGTGCAGATGGAGTACAAATAGCATGTATTCTTTAAATGTTCATGAATGACAGAAAATGACAAATGAAACTGCAATATCTTATATTAACATGAATTTTAATTAAAGCCATTAGGTTTACAAATCCTTGAAGCCATGCATGGACATTACCTGTATTTTATCAGTGAAAAAAATAAAACTTATGTCCTTTGGATAGAAAATCCTTCTCTATCTACAGGAAACTAGTTTACGTGTTTTGTTTCAATGCACTTGAACTAGATACTTATGATTGCTATCATGATCTCCATTCTGCTCAAACGGTACTGGGAGTCTTGGGTTTAAGGAACTGGCCAGAATATAATAATCACAGACAACCAAATGCACAAAATATTCCCTGTGCAAAGCTATTGGACCTAAGGCTTGATATGCTCAATATGTTTTAATTCCAAATGAAGAAATACAAAATTGCAGGAAACGTTCACAATCCTGTCTTCTGGAATTAACACATACAAAACAGTGTTGATTTCCTTCAAAATAAAGATTTATAACTTTGCATTTCAGACACAACTATTTTTATCTAGTTCAAGATTACATGCCTTCATGAAAAAAACTGACAATCCAAAATGTTGGGGTTACATACTTTTCCTAAATATTCAATTTGTTTAAATTCTCATTATTTTAATGGGTAGGCAATGCATATACTATATATGTCTTATTTTTAATAATACTTCAGGTATTTTCAATCGACTCTTAAAACTGCCTGGATAAGAGTCTATTGCATAAAACTACTGATAAATCAAACTATGAGACATAACTATCTATTTGAAACTATTAAATGAAACCTGCTAAAACTTTAAAAATTTTATTTGAAACTGAACGAGAATATGAAAATACTCTTAAATGTTGATCATTTGAGGATACTTCTCCTTTTAGTACTCCTCTCCTTCTTCAGCCTCGGCTTCCACAGAATCAACACCCACTTCTTCATAATCTTTCTCAAGGGCAGCCAAATCCTCACGAGCTTCTGAAAATTCTCCTTCTTCCATTCCTTCCCCAACATACCAATGCACAAAAGCTCGCTTGGCATACATCAGGTCAAACTTATGGTCAAGACGAGCCCAAGCTTCTGCAATGGCAGTTGTATTACTCAACATACAGACAGCACGCTGCACCTTGGCCAAATCCCCACCTGGCACTACAGTGGGTGGCTGGTAGTTTATGCCTACCTAGTAGGAGAAAAAAAGTAAATATAATTAAGTTTTCCTACTATATAATGCTCCACTACCCAAGGCAACTTCATTCATACATCAAAGAATTCATCACGTGCATAATTTATTCCTATTTCTCAGGAGAAACAGGAATGGTCTGCAAAGAGGACATAGCCATGGATATTCTTATTCCATGGAAACTTGTCGCTCTGCTAGCTTTAATGATTTAAGAGAGAATGAAAACAAGACATCATTTCCCATTATTACTCTTCACAGAATCCAGCAATTATTACATGCTCTCTAGAATAGAAATATTGTTAATATAAAGTTAACATAAGTTTGACTACTATATGAAATATTTTGAGTAGTCTTTAATCTCATGCCGTTCAGATGGGATGGACAAATGGTCGATCTGATTGGGAATGAGATCTATTATTTAACATGTCTGTAGTTATTTAAAAAGTGCAAGCAATTTCACCACTACTTGCACATTTCTGACAGGAGAATGCAGAGCAAAAATTATCTTCAAGTATAGCTATGAAGGTAGTGTTGATAACTACTACAAAAAACAACATACTCATACCTTGAACCCAGTTGGACACCAATCCACAAACTGAATGGTACGCTTTGTTTTGATAGTTGCAATAGCAGCATTGACATCTTTTGGGACAACATCACCTCTATACAGCATACAGCAGGCCATGTATTTACCATGGCGAGGGTCACACTTTACCATCTGATTAGCTGGTTCAAAACAGGCATTGGTGATTTCAGCCACAGACAACTGCTCATGGTACGCCTTTTCAGCTGAAATGACAGGTGCATATGTTGCCAGAGGGAAATGGATTCGGGGATATGGGACAAGATTTGTCTGAAATTCTGTCAGATCTACATTCAGAGCCCCATCAAAACGAAGTGAAGCTGTAATGGAAGAAACTATCTGACCGATGAGACGATTTAGGTTTGTGTAGGTAGGACGTTCAATGTCGAGATTACGTCGACAAATATCATAAATGGCTTCGTTATCTACCATGAATGCACAGTCAGAATGCTCCAGTGTTGTATGCGTAGTAAGGATAGAATTATAAGGCTCCACCACAGCAGTAGACACCTGTGGAGCTGGGTAAATTGCAAACTCCAACTTGGACTTTTTGCCATAGTCAACCGAGAGTCTTTCCATGAGCAGAGATGCAAATCCAGAACCAGTACCTCCTCCAAAACTATGAAAAATGAGAAAACCCTGGAGACCTGTACATAGATCAGCCTAGAAGAAAAAAGAACATATAATTGTAGTTTTGCAATTGTGTAGGCCTAAAGTACACAATTATAAATTATATGGGCCACACTGCCTTAATAATAGTACCAATATCAGATAATTCACCTATGGATACCTTTACTCCTCAAATCCTTGCAAGTATTATCACTACAAATGAAGATTTGTTTAGAAATTAAATGGACATAGTCTAATGAAATTTTTAATGCCATGTTTAAAGATGGCATCCATTCATGGGAAAAATATGGAAAACCAATTTAAGGTTGAAAAATGAAAAGTCCCTTTAAGGTCAACCAAGAAACCAGCTGCTCCCATCACTGCTTCCTGAAAACACTGAGGTACTTCTAGCCTTTTTCAGTTTTTACATTAACATAAAGATGTGTATCTCCAGACATGCATTAATTCCAATCTTAAAATTAAACTTACCAACTTGCGAATGCGATCCAGCACTAGATCAACAATCTCTTTTCCTATGGTATAATGCCCTCTGGCGTAATTGTTAGCAGCATCTTCTTTTCCAGTAATAAGTTGCTCAGGGTGAAATAACTGCCTGTAAGTGCCTGTACGTACCTCATCTGCAATTTTTTTTTAAAATGAATACATCATCAACAAAACATTTACTGAATTGTAGCTATTCTAATCTTATTTTATAATTTTCCATTTTTCTAACAAATATATATTTTCCTTGAATTTCAATTTGAACATCAATACTATTTTACTCTCCTTATTCTTGTTATGAGTTAATACTTTTTTCATAACTGAATACTATTATTGCATTTACAGTTTTATGTAACAAGGAGTGTACATTCACAGGTATAAAATGTGATAGTCATTGCAAAACTTTAAAATTCGTTTTATTTTACACATTTTCTGCTAACTTTTCTAATTTTAGAAAAACGAAGTTTTTCTGCAAGAAAGGTTTCAAAGGAAAATATCTGATTTGAATATTCAAAAGAAAACATGACCCAAAATCAGTTATTTCAGATTAACTCAAAAATAACTTTTTCTGAGTCCCCTTCAGGGTGAGAAGGGCAGCATTTAAATGTCATAGATAAATAAACTTTTGTTCATTACTTCCATATTAGGAAGCAGCAGTTTCTTAGATATGGTATAATACACTACAATACAATACAGGAAGGCAGTAGCTATCTAGAAATCTACTGTAATATTCTTTATCTTATTTCCAAGTAAGCATTACTGCTTGTTAGATAAAAGACTTGTTTAACTAAAACTAGCAAACTCACAATGCTTTTGAAAAGAATCAACAGATAACATAAATTACACTGAGAAGTTCTTAGATGAGCCCATTCTATTTATAGTGTCCAAAATATACTGGTTTCTAACAAAGCCGAAAATGTATTTTAATTTGAATGCATATACATTTGAACTCCTATACATACCAACTACAGTTGGTTCAAGGTCCACAAAGACAGCTCTAGGCACATGTTTACCAGCTCCTGTTTCACTAAAGAAAGTGTTAAAGGAATCATCACCGCCTCCTATGGTTTTGTCACTTGGCATCTGGCCATCAGGTTGGATTCCATGTTCAAGACAATACAATTCCCAACAAGCATTGCCAATCTGAACTCCAGCCTGTCCAACATGGATAGAGATGCATTCACGCTGTTTTTTAAAAAAAAGAGAATTCAAGACTTTAAAACATTCCCCTTAAAAACAGTTTAATGCCTTTACTTCCTGTTTTCTGTACCCATCTTTAAAAAAACTAGTAGCTATTTATATCCTGCTTTTACTCTTTTAAAATATACTCAAAGCGGGTAACAAGGTTAAAAAATAAGATAAAAATGTCAATTTTAAAACCAAAAACATATATAAACACTGAAATATAATTAAACATAAGCTTGTTAAAATAGTTAAAACCATTAAATCTTTAAAATACATAAATAACAACCAGCACTGTGTCTCAATTTTTTAAATGCTCTTTAAAATCCTGTCTGAAAAGGAAGGTTTTAGCCTGCTGCTGGAAGTTACTACAAAAACATACAGTAGCCACACATTTAATATTTTAGTTGATTTCACTTTCCTAAAGAGCTAAATATCCTGTCATTTTAAAAAAGTTTACTGCTAAAAAATCTCACCAATGATACTTTGAGAACGGTTCAACATTCATAAAAAGGAATATACATCCATTTTCATTACAATCTAAGCATAACTAAATGCTCATTGTATACAATCTAATTTTAATAGTCTTTAATATTAATGTTCTCCTAACATGTTGCTACAAAAACTGGGCAAACACAGGTTGTGCACCTCATAGCTGGAATTTTAAAACTCTAAAAATGTTCAGTTAGCAGAAATAGTTATGCTCTTGCTTTCTGATGGTTTGGCGTACACAAGACTTTGTTTCATCCAAAAAGTTGTTTAAAATATTGTATAAACTACTAGCAGGCTTGAGTACAAGCAATATCTGAAGCACAAATGAATTAGGTTTAAACTTGGTTTTAACTTCCCACCTAACTGCAATGGCTGATAATTATGGAATAGGAGCTGTAGTTTGGCGCAGCAACATCTCCACTTGGCAGGTAAAGTTAAAGCCCCTATAAAACTAAAACTCCTGGGATTTCATAGCTTTGAGCAGTGGCAGGTAAAGTGATGTCAAATTTCATTAATTCTTTGGTGTATATTCAAATGGAAATTCCAAAATTATTATTATATTTATACTTTGCTTTATCTCCCCCAAAGGTGACTCAAAGCGGCTTAATCCACCTAATCCCATGTTTTTTGGATAAGGAATACTCCACCTGTAACTACACGTCATCCATCCCCTTGCAACATTAACCACCGGCCTCTTTGCAATCTTTTAACTACAGACCCATATTTTATTTATTCAATTATGATCTCCCCTCACTTTTATGCATCCAGAAGAGCCTGAAGTGTGTATACAATTTCTTTCTACTGCTGTGATCACCCTCAAAATAATCCCCATCTACTTCTGTGTGCATCTACACCAGGCATGGACAAACTTGGGCCCTCCAGGTGTTTTGGACTTCAACTCCTATCATTCCTAACAGCCTCTGGCCCCTTGTTTTTGTCCTCAGCTGAGGCTGTTAGGAATGGTGGGAGTTGAAGTCCAAAACACCTGGAGGGCCCAAGTTTGCCCATGCCTGATCTACGCTGTAGAATGAATAAAGTTGTGACAGCACTTTACCTGCCCTAGCTCAAGGCTATGGAATCCTCAGAGTTGTCGTTTCCCAAGATTCCATAGCTTTGAACCAGAGCAAAAGCCGCATCGAATCCCTTGGGAGATGCTAGCGGGGTACAAATAAAGTTAAAAAAAAAAGAGCAGTTTCAGTACTGTCAAACAGCTCAACTTCACACTGTAGTCCAGGCATGGGCAAACTCCGACCCTCGTGGTGTTTTGGACTTCAACTCCCACGATTCCTGAAATTGTGAGAGTTACTAGTCCAAAACACCCGGAGGGCTGAAGTTTGCCCATGCTTGCTGCTGATGCGCTCTGCGTTTCCCGCCCGTACCATGGCGAGCCTGAGGCAATTTCACAGCAGCGCGTTCTGAACAAGCGCGAGGCCAACCGCCACTCTCTGCATTTTCCCGCCTTTCGAGGGGGAGGAGGGCACGCGGCAGCTCCCTATTGGCTGCTTCCCGAGCGCGCGGAGGCTCCACACGAGGCGGCGCTTCACGTACAAGAAGGCCTTTCTTCGTCCTTGCCTAGCCAAACCTCGGCTGCCATTGGGAGGCTTCAAGCCCCGTCCTCCCTTCCCAACTGTGCCCCCCGCGGAAGCCTGAACCGAGCGAGCCCCTTCCCGCACCATGGTGCCTCGCGGAGACGGCGACTGTCTCGTTCCCTGCTCGCTCCTCCTGCGCCCAACCCTAACCGAAGGTGGCGTCGAATGACGACCGTTAGAGCCAACCGACTGCCACGCGCGCCTTTGGCTTCACCGCTCGCGTTCTATTGGCTGGGGCTGGTGAAAGGCTGCGCGCTGATTGGTTGAATCCGTTCTCTTGCTTTTTTTTTAACCCTCCTAAAATGGCGGTGGTCTCTCCTCAGGAAAAAATGGGGGCGGGGCATGAAGGTCTAAATGAGCGCCAAATGGTTGGTGGCCGTTCAGCCCTCCAGATGAAAAATTAAACATATTTTAAGCAAAAAGGAGTTATTGATGGAGGGACGTTATTGAGGGCACTTAAGAACAAAAACGAGGTTGTTTTAGAGCTTGGAAAGCATCTTCCCACCCTGACAGGATGAGCATTAAAAATGTTGGATAAGAATCACTTCAAACATGTGGATTTCATTCCCTTTTCTGCCAGAGAAAACCACTGTGTTGACTTTAGCCCAGTCGCACTCTCCGAGGGCGCATTTACACTGTTAAACTAATGCAGTTTGACACCACTTTATTTTTTTTTTGTCCTGTCAGGAGTGACTTGAGAAACTGCAAGTCGCTTCTGGAGTGAGAGAATTGGCCATCTGCAAGGATATTGCCCAGGGGACGCCCGGATGTTTTGATGTTTTATCATCTTTGTGGGAGGCTTCTCTCATATCCCCGCATGAGGAGCTAGAGCTGATAGAAGGAGCTCATCCGCACTCTCCCTGGATTCAAACCTGTGACCTGTCAGTCTTCAGTCCTGCCGGTACAGGGGTTTAACCCACTGCGCCACCGGGGGCTCTGACCACTTTAATTGTCATGGCTCAAAGCCACGAGATACTGGGATTTGTAGTTTTACATGGGCCTTCTCTGCCCCACCAAACTACAACATCCACAGTTCTATTGTACTGAGCTATGGTAGTCTGAAGTCCTTTCCACACAGCTGAATAAAATACCACATTATTTGATTTGAACTGGAATATATGGTAGTAGGGACGGAGATAACCCAGTTCAAAGCAGATATTGTGGGAACAAGCTTGTTTTCTGATGCCCTGGACGCGGAACAATGGCTTCAAACTACAAAACAGGAGATTCCACCTGAACACTAGGAAGAACTTCCTGATTGTGAGAGCTGTTCAGCAGTGGAACTCTCTGCCCCGGAGTATTCTAGAGGCTCCTTCTTTGGAAGCTTTTGAACAAAGGCTGGATGGCCATCTGTCGGGGGTGCTTTGAATGCAATTTTCCTGCTTCTTGGCAGGGGGTTGGACTGGATGGCCCATGAGGTCTCTTCCAACTCTATGATTCTATGATTCTGCCTTGATATTCTGGGTTATATGGCTGTGTGGAAGGGCCCCAAGTGGTGTCAAACTGCATCAAATCTAGTGTAGGTCAGGCATGGGCAAACTTGGGCCCTCCAGGTGTTTGGACTTTAACTCCCACAGTTCCTAAAAGCCTCAGGCCCTTTCCTTTCCCTAACAAGAAGGGGCCTGAGGCTGTTAGGAAAAGGAAAGGGCCCAAGGCTATTAGGAATTGTGGGAGTTGAAGTCCAAAACACCTGGAGGACCCCAGTTTGCTCATGCCTGATGTAGATGCGCCCTCAGAGGAAGGCAATGGCTTGATAGGTTTACTTTAAGGTTGCCATGAATGTAGAATGACTTGAACTGTTCATTTTCAATCTGAACAGAAATCAGATCATAACCACTGCTTCACTTTCTTCATTGACACTGCATGGTTTTTACACATTACCATTTCAGGATATTATTATTGGTAGTATCATCCTACTTATTTTCTCTCTAAGGAGACTCAAACGGGCTAACACTGGACATAATACAATATGTAAATTAAACCCCAAAGCATACAATTAAACACGGGACTTATTAAAAAGACTTAGGCCCCTTCCACACAGCTCTATGAAATCCACACTGAATTGGATTATATGGCAGTGTAGACTCAAGATAACCCAGTTCAAAGCAGATATTGTGGGATTTTCTGCTTTGATATTTTGGGTTTTATGTTAAACCAATAAAACATTTTAAAAACCTGTTAAACTACATTAAACACAGCACATTGTAGATTGCAAAGTCCTTTTTGACATACTTGTGGTTTATAACATCTTTTTTATATTTAAAGTGTTAATGGGGATTTAATCTTTAGGATTAAATCCCCATGAACACTTAGTAAGTATATTTACTATGTGTTTGCAGACTTTCTTCTGCAAAAATATCTCCACATGCCACTTTGGGCCCTTCCACACAGCTTTATAATCCAGAATATCAAGTCAGAAAATCCCATACTATCTGCTTTGAACTGGGTTATTGGAATCCACACTGCCATATATTTCAGTTCAAAGCAGATAATGTGGGATTTTATTCAGCTGTGTGGAATGGGCCTCAATTATTTAGCATTTACAATAATCTTTCAAAATATGTAGGAAAATAGCATCCCAAGATAATAATTCAAATTCTTAATCTATCTGGGACAGTCTTTGCTGCTGCCACAAGGAGGAAGCAGAATCCACTTTTAGAAAAAGTGAGATTTAAATAGCTATTTAAGCACTATTTTTTACTGTTTCAGAACTTAAATTTAAAGGTCTTAAAAAGTTGTATTTTGCTGCTCTCTAAAAATTTCCAGATTCAGTGGTACTTTATGGGAAGTGATAGGTGTTACTCTGTTGGGTGTTACATGTTGAACCCAGATTAAGAAAACTGGAAGCAGTTTTCAATTTAAATAATTTATCCTAAATAGCCTATAGTTCCAAATTATCTGGCAAAGCCAGGCTGAGGCCAATTTACAGTGTGATGTGTGAGTAAAGGGACATCTTCAAAGCACCAATGGTGGAAAATGTTTAAGTGGATATACTTCTACTGACAGTCTTCATAGCCATTCCCCAAAACTGAGTCTAAAAATGCAGACAGATATGTTGATTCATATCAACAAATGGGTTCTTGCCCTTATCATGTGTGGCAAGAGCTAGAGGAAATGAATTACTCATTTAAGATCAAAACACTCCAAAACACTTTGCATTGCGGCTGACAATTCATAAGATACTCTTGCAGGACATTCCACCAAGCAAACTCAACACTCAGGGCCCTTCCACACAGCCCTATATCCCAGAATATCAAGGCTGAAAATCCCACATTATCTGCTTTAAACTGTGTTATCTGAGCCCATACTGCCATTTATTCCAGTTCAAAGCAGAAAATATGGGATTTTGTTCAGCTGTGTGGAAGGAGCCTCCTACTATGAGGAATACAGTCAGCACCTGTACTGTAGAATTAATGCAGTTCGATGCTACTTTTGGTGAGGCACCATCACCAGATAAGCCTAAAATACCTCATAAAACTACAACTCCCATGATTCCAAAGCATTAAGCCATGGCAGCAAAAGTGGTGACAAAATGTACTAATTCTATAGTGTAGATGCACCCAGAGAGGTAATGGGTGGCACATGCCTTTTTTCGTCCTTGCTAATGAAAAATATCTTGACACTTTGACCTGCAAGCTCTAACTCAACAGCAGGGGCATCAAAGTCATTTTCACCCAGACTTTTGGTTGCTCTCGTTTGTAATTGTAAGACTGCATAAACGTAACTATGGCCCCTTCCACACAGCTGTATAAAATCTACATTGAACTGAATTACATGACAGTGTGGACTTGGATAATCCTGTTCAAAGCAGATATTGTGAATTATCTGCCTTGATATTTTTGGTTATATGGCTATGTGAAAGGGCGTAATGTTGCCTTGGCACTGAAGGTTTTGCACACTAAAGCATGTGGCAGGCAGTATTCATTCCGCAAGCCTTGTGATTGACACACGTTCTTTACAGCAACACTGCTTACAAACACACCAGTAAATATTATTTCTATGTAAACTGTAATTATTCCATTGTCCTCAATCCAATTGTTAATCCATTGAATCAATGGAAACATGACTAGTCTGGATTTCATTCAGCGGGCTTCCTTTATCTGCTACTTACTGTTTGGGGGTCATGATCCTCCACTATCTCAAAAAGAAAAAAAGAGCAGATAATTTACATTTTGTGCAAGGCACTTAACATGTTTAACTAAAGACATTTTGGGAATAGGTCTTTGTCTAGAAAATGGAAGTACATGCTCTGCACTGTCATCAAAACTGTGGTTGTTCCTTCAGTAAAAAATGGTGCATTTTGATAATGTAATTGATTTAGTGACACTTATGATTTTGAACTTTTCCCTTGTACATTTCAAAATAGAAAACATTTGTGCCTATACATTTCCAGGGATACTGGCTACATAGAAAATAAAGACTGACAGTCAGTGACTAGACTTTAGGGGTGAAATCCAGCAACTTTAACTCTAAGGCCCCTTCCTTAGAGTATAAAATCCACATTGAACTGGATAATATGGCAAATATTGTGGATTATCTGCCATGATATTCTAGGTTATATAGCTGTGTGGAAGGGCCCTTAAGCCTCTTCTACATTGCCATATCATTCAGATTATCAAAGCAGATAATTTCACATTATTTCCTTTAACCTGGATTATATGAGTCTGCACTGCCACATCATCCAGTTTAAAGCAGGTAATCTGGATTTTACATAGAAGTGTAGAAGGGGCCTAAGGCTCCTCAAATGATACTCCGAGAACAGCAGATAAAGGGGGAAAGGTATCTTTTAACACCTGGGTGATATAGGCATGCTAAAGCCCTCTACACTACATTTTCATATTTAAATTATAGCCAGGCTTGTTATGAGGCAACATATATTTATGTTATGCAGTGTTACTTTTTTCTACAACGAAGTGGTGATTGTTCCTAAGTAAATGCATTTAGCAACAAAAGCATACTCCGTGACTATTTTATACTTACGTTTTTTGCTCTGATGTAAGTTTTAAAACTGCAAGAGTATTTCTTATTGGGGCTAAACACTATTTTGGTTATATATCCTAAAAGTATTAGTAATTTAGAAACAATTCTAAAATTTGGAAAGTGGAAGGTGTGGAAAGTTACTGTATATTAGTTGTGAGTTTAAAGGCAGAATAAACATTTACGACTGGAAGCTGTCCACCTTCTCTGTTCTCAATCATCTATCTATCGGAAGGAACAAGCACAGTTTTGATGACAG